CAACGCTGAGGAAAATGTTCTAAGTCCTAAAGATTGCCCCCCCGGCCTAATCAACATTTCAGTTGGGGCTCCACAGTAGCCGAAGGCTACATGACACACTACATTTACAAAAAATTTCCAAGTCCCAATAATGTGGCCTTCGGCCATCACTGAACCACCATACATTCATACGTGGGGAAAGCATAAAGGAGAAGGCATACATTAAAACAGAAGGCGCATTCAAATGTGAAAAGCCCGGAGGCAGCATGCATTCACAAAGAACAGAAGTAAGTACAAAGTTACAAACAGGCCGAAGCCGAAGGATCAATGGTGTTCATTACAAAAGTTTGTTCAGAAATTTCTAAGTACAAAATCATTCAACAACCTCAACAACATCATTCCCCGGGGCGTCCTCTGCAGCCGGCCTCGACGATACCTCCACTCCGGCCTCAACAACGTCGTCCTCGGCCTCCTTCTTCAGCTCTGTCTCCTCAAGATCGGGCCGTTGTACACCTTCGGGAAGGGATTCACGGACATCAGGCTGCTGGGGAGGAAGGCCATATGCCGAGGGGGCGAAATCCTTTGGCTCAATGCTCAGGTGCCGGGCCATCCTCCGATAGATGAGGGCCTGGGTGAAGAATTCGTCGGCCTCATAATATTCTCTGCCCTTCCGGGCCATCCATTCCCACCCAGGGCCCTCGGCCCATTCATCAACGCGTGCCTCCACAACCGAGGACACCCACACCTTGCGTCCCTCGGCTCTCCAACCCTCAGCGGCGAAGGCATCAACGGCCTCCTCCTAAGCCTTGGCGACGGCTAGCGCCTTGGAATCCTCGGCCTCTTTGGCAGCTCTCCTGGCCTCCTCAGCAGCGGCCTCAGCATCAGCCTTGCTCTTTTCTGCAGCCTCCAATTTTAGCTTCATTTGCCGAAGCTCCTCTTCTAGCCTGGCCCCCAGCTTCACCGCCTCTTTGTTTTTGAGGATACACTCCTTCATTTTGGCGTCCTGCTCTGCTTTATGGAGGCGCCATTCTTGAAGCCTCCGGGCCTGTTCGCCGAGGGCTAGACAAGCCTGCAGATCAACAACAAAAACGGTTAAAGGCAATCACGCAAAATGATCAAAGGAAAAGAGGAAGAAAGGCAAGTGAACACTTACAGAGAGGGAGGAGCGGAGAATGTGGTCCTCGAGGGCCGCATCATTATAAGCCCCGAGGGCAGCCCTATCCGTCTCAGGGGTTATGCCCCTCAAGATGGCCCCCGGGTCAACAGCGCCGCTGGCCAGAGATGTACCCCTCGGAAGAGAAACATGGAGGACCTCAGGCAGCAACTCCTCTGCCCCCGCCGGCGTTCCATCCGATGGCTTCTCCACATACACCCCGGAGGCGGGGTGCTCATCAACAATCACGACCGGGGGCTCCTTATCGGTGATATCCCCTTTCTTCGGCTTTTTGATAGCCGGGGGGGACCCCTTGGCCGCCGCCTTCCTTTTGCTGGCAGCGGCATCTCCCTCGGATTTCTTGAAGAGGGCAGTGGCGGGCTTCTGGTTGCCCTGTCCCGACCCCTTCGGGTCCTTGTTCTTCAGCCGCGCAAGGCCCTTCACGTTCACCATTGACACGGGGATACCTGCAAAAATACGACAAAGGATTAGGCCGACGGGTCTACAGCGAAGGGACAATGACATCCAAGCAGAACAAAAAAAAGGACTAAGTACAAAAATCTAAAGCCCTCGTAGACTACCTCCTACTCCCCCGAAGGCCTCAGCAAAAACGGGATACTTCTCGTCCGCTTCCCCGATGAAGCGGTATCTCCGAAAGCCGAGGGCGTAGAGTTCCTTGTCGGCAGTGTAATCTTTAATAGACACTTGCTTCGTGCGACCCTCCGGGATTTTGGCTATTACTAAGCCATCTTTCTCGAGAGCGGCGCTTCCAACCTTCGGATGCCGACGGAAGCGATCCCGAAGTTCCGCCGGGAATGGGTTCTCAGCGACTCTTACGTAGCACCAACGCTCCTTCCAGCCCTTATTGGACGAAGGCGCCTCTGTAAATAGCTTCCACCTAGCTATCTGCTGCAGGTTGGCGAAGCCCTCGGCATTCGCGTGACCCCCTCGGCAGAGGTTGAAGCTCTGGAAGAACAAGTCCAGGCTGGGGGTCACCCCTCGGTCCCTGCAGAGGCTCAAAAAACCCGCCACGTAGGAGTGGCTATTAGGTGTCAGCTGGCAGGGGACCAAGCCCACAAACCTAAGGTACTCCCGGAGGAAGGGGTGCAGAGGGAACCGAAGGCCCATGGAGACCGACAGTACGTGTACTGCAATACACCCCTCGGGCGCCCGAGACAGCACATCTTCAACTCCCGGCTCGACCACCACGACCGAGGGCCCTACGTGTAGCTGCGTGACGTAGAAATCCACCCTGTCCGCCTTCGACTTTATCTCCAAGGCAGCAGTATTGAGCCAGGAATACCCCTCCGACATATCTATGGGTTTCCCCTGATCGGCAACAACAATCTTCTTCTTGGGGGTAGCTACCTTGGCCTTCTTCTTTCCGGGGGCCACCCGGATGGGAACCGCGTTCAGCGGCCGAGAGGTACTGGCCTCACCAGCACCCCGAGGGGGAAGGACAGCCACGGTCACCCCCGTCCTCTCCTTTGCTTCCTCCTCCTCTGCAACCTGCATGGCGAGGGCCAACTCTTCGTCTTCCACCTCCTGCTCGAAGCCCTCGGCTTCAACTTCAGTTAACAGCTCCTTCTGCACCTCTACTGCCATCGCAACGTCCTCCTGGTCCGAGGACTGTGCACTGGAGGACTCCACATCCGAGAGGACTTCATCCTCCATCGAGGGCGCCCCCGAGATGTCTTGAGAATCACTCTGGGACGACATTATGGCTCTAGCTCGAGGGCTCGGGAGAACTAAGGTTTTCCTAGAAAATTCTATCTCCTAACCTAAGGGCACAAGGCACGGCTAATTAGAAGGAGAAGGGCAGGGGGGAACTGACCTTGAGAATAGAGGATTCAACCGAGGGCTGCTGTTTCTCTCTCTAGAAATTTGGGCAGAGCTTCGCTATAGGAATTTCGCATAGGGGGAAGGGAGCCGGCCATGGGATATTTATAGGCGATGGGATCCGGGCTTGGGCCCGAAAACCGGGCCTCCGGATGGACCGTCATCATTACGCGTCGTGTCTTCGCCCAACCGGTGACGCCGCCCACGGGCAGCCAACCGTCACGCGCCACGTGTACCCCCCGAACGGCTATAACCTGACGTTACATATTCCAACGGCTATATTTCCAACGGCTATATTGTGGGAGCCCCCGGATTTTCTTACTTCACTCCACTTCATCAAGGAGAGCCTCCGGGTACACTTACCCAGACAGTACATAACACACTTCCCCTCGGCACTGTAAGGACCGGGTAGCCCCCGGGGAGTATGCCTCATTGACGGATAGCCTACGGCACACAGGTAATGGGAGCCCCTGGATATCCCCATCACCAACTAATCAACAAGCAGGGGACCCCCCGGTGACAATTCAACTACTGCCCTCATTCATCGCGCCCTCGATCCCCAGATTGAGGGGCTCCCCTTCGGCACCCCCCAGGACATCAACAGCAAGCCTTCGGCTAATCAACACATGAGCCCTCAGAAAAAGGAGAGCCTTCGGCATTACCGTTATTCTCCATTTTTGACCAAGGCTTCACATTTTCGATTCATCGTTGGGGGAATTCGGTGCACTCTTTTCCCCTCATTAGGATTTTTTCCCACAGGGTTTTCCCTAATGAGGTTTTTAACGAGGCATCCCCCCAAAAATGAAACGAAAAGCGTCAGCCTTCGGCCCACAACAGCAACGCAACTACTCTACTCCTTTTCACCACTTTACAAGTGCCTCAAGGAGTGGGAGACTGGAGGACCCCCTCGGGAAAATCATTAAATTACAAAATTGGTGAAAAATTCCAACAAACGGCAAAGCAAGCCCTCAAGTCCCGACATGTGGGTAACTGAGGGACTGCCTTCGGCAGGGACATGCAAGCAACAAACCAACCTCAGAAATTACAACGGAACAACGACAGGGGACAAACACAAATTACTCCTTTCCCCTCAAGTACCTTTCGGCAAAAGGAGTGAGGGACTCCTGATGGAGTATATGGCCCGGAAACACCCGGCCCACAAACTCCTACTACTCCAGTAAAGGCCCAACAGGCCCAGAAGGCTCAACAGGCCCAAATCACAGCGCCCAGAGTACCAAGCAGCCCGCAAGGCGCACCAGGGGTGCCTTCGGCCCCCTGGCCGAAGGCTCTAAACTCTCACAGAACGGGTTTCTCAAGCAAACTAAGAAACTGGGAAAAACGACAGAAAACGGTAGCCCTCGGCACCTGGAGCTCTCGGCACCAAAGGGGTCCTCGGTACTCAGAGCCCTCGGCTAGCCCTCTACAGCCGAGGGCACCTTCCCCGACAGGATATCCGCGCCACATGCGTACAGATCACCGTACCCTGTACAACGTCCCATCCAACAGCCGCATTAAATGCGGCCACATGCGGTTGCCAGCGCCAACCAGATGAGGTGACCTCTCGGCCAATGGACGCTTGACACGTGTCCCTGTCCGGCATTTATTGCTACTATAAATAGCACCCCTTTTCCCCATTTGTAACCAAGTCATAAAACGCTGCATACTTTCTGAATACACTTTCTCTCTCTACTTACTTGCTCTGACTTCTCTCTTACTACTCCCCGTAATAACCCCTCGGATAAGCTACCCTCGGGTACACTATCCATCAATCTGTTAGAATTTTCCCAACGAGTCACGGGTTACGCCGGCTGATCTGTTAGAAAAAATGCAAAACTCTTGAAAGACAAGTTTAACAATATTTTTTTCATAAAATAATATTATTACATTAATAAATAAAACGTAGTCAAAATAGAACATGTGAATAGTGTAAAAGTCAAACGTGTTACATTTATTTAAGAACGGGAGGTAGTACTTAATTATATTTTTTTTTTGAGAATTTAGTTTTTTAAAAAGGAAAACGATTATGATACTCATTTCTCCAAACATCAAAGAAAATGCACTCAGCAACGGCCTGCTCATTGCTCTCCTTCATACGGAAGCACGAGTGTAACCGCCCAGCCATCCAACAACTACATTCTCATTTAATTTTTGCGCCCGCTTGCGTTGTTTCTGCCTCCACTCCGATCATCTTCACTCTCTGGAACTCTATTCTCCGGCACTACTCTCTCGGACCCTTCCCACAAGAAGCCTTCTTCCTGTTCAAGCACTTACAGCTCAAATTGCCACCCGGGTTCTTTTTTGACAGCTTCTCTTATTCTTTTCTCGTTAAAGCTGCCGCTAATTTAGCCCGACCATGTATCGGGAAGCAAGTGCACTGCCTCACCTTTAAATCCGGTTTTCATCCTCATGTTTATGTGCAAACCGCCTTGGTGGATATGTATGCGAGCTCTCGATGTCTGGTGGAATCACAGAATGTGTTTGAAGAAATGCCTGTGAGGAACAGTGTGACCTGGAATGCATTTATTACTGGGCTGAGCAAGTGGGGTGAGCTTAGGTTAGCCCGGGCTGTTTTTGATAGGATGCAGGAGAAGAATCTGGTTACTTGGACGGGCATGATTGATGGGTACACACGAACGGGTAAGTTTATTGAAGCGTTGTTGTTGTTCCACGAAATGGTTGTGTCTGAGGGGATTAAACCAAGTGAAGTTACTCTTTTAACAATATTCCCTGCTATTTGGAATGTTGGGTATCTTGAATCTTGCCAAATGCTTCATGCTTATGGAGAGAAAAGTGGGATCAACTCTTTTGATATCCGCGTTATGAATTCTCTTGTGGATGCATATTCCAAGTGTGGGAGCATACAGTGTGCCTCAAAAGTTTTTTATGACATAGCAGATGGGAGGAGGAATCTAGTGTCGTGGACATCAATCATATCAGGATATGCGATGTATGGGATGGCCAAAGAAGCTTCAGATTGTTTTATAATGATGGAGAGTGCACATGTAAGACCAAATCAGGTCACACTTTTGAGTGTTCTACATGCTTGTAGTCATGGTGGTTTGGTGGATGTAGGAGTCGAGTTTTTCGTAAAAATGGTAAATGACTTTGGTCTTCAACCCAATATTAAACATTATGGGAGCTTGATAGACATGCTGGGGAGAGCAGGGAGATTAGAAGAAGCTGAAAGGGTAGCTTTAGAGGTACCTAATGGGATCTCCAATGCTGTAATATGGAGAACACTTTTGGGTGCTTGTAGTTTTTATGGGAATGCAGAATTGGGACAGAGAGTTATGCAAAAGGTCCTGGAGTTGGAAAAAACATATGGTGGTGATTATGTACTGCTCTCTAATATTTTTGCCAATAGTGGTAGGTATATAGATTCTGAGGGGGTGAGGAGATTAATGGATGAAGAAAATGCTCAGAAGGTGCCTGGCCTCAGTTTCAGCTAACAACAAACAAAAGGTCTTGAGGGAGGGGGGTTCCTTGGGCCAACCTCACGTGAGCAATGGGTGAAGAACCAGCCCAGGTACTGGGCTTCTAACTAGTGTGCCCACTTTTTTATATCTGCTATATACGATTATCATTATTTTTTTTAGAGTTAATGCTTGATATAGTCGATTGGCTAAGCACAATTTCTCAATTTAGTTCTAAACTTTTTAGACTCATTTTGATCTTCAACTATGTGAATTGAATTCAATTTAGTCCTCCTCACCATGTTTCTCTCTAAATAGGGTAATAACTATCATTTGTTTATTTCTTGGTTTTGGTCCCAATTGTATTCTTCTCCCCCATGTATTAATTAAAGGGTTAAAAACAGCCAAATATGCATTGTATGTATGCATGTATATTTATGTTTAAATATGTCTTCATGTATATGAGTATATCCATTTGTATTTTCTCCCTCCCCTATGTATGTATGTCTGTTCGTGTGTGTGTGTGTGTACACACACATACATTGACAGATAGATACACTCACACATGCATACATATTAGGGAAATTTATCCATATAAGACTAGAACATTCATGGATTCCTAGTATATGACTAACAAACTTAATTTGCCTTGAGAATGAGTAATAATTAAATTGTAAGAGAGAGAAAATAGCACCAAAGTAAGTACCATACATGCAAGACACCATTAATCCACGAGTAAAATACTAGTTTGTCATATTTTAGGAACCACCACATCTTTTAGTCATTGCTAGCAACTTTCTCTAATTAATATACATACATAAACATATTCAAGTGGTAAGGAATTGACGATTTAGAGAAGCTAAGGTGTTGCACTTCTAAAAGAAATGTGGATAATGAATCAGAAGGAAGTTGATAAAGAGAATTATCTGGAATGAAAGTGAAGAAGTACAAAAGCAAGAAAGAAATTACAACTATTTTTTCTCTAATTCTTTAGCTGAAAGAGGAGAAAGATTCCCCATATGCCTTAGCTTACTGTTTGTTCAATTATTTGCAGTAATATATAAAAAATAAAAAATAAACATTTGCAGTAATATAAAAAAAAGATATTTGCAGTAATATAAAAAAAATAAGAAAAATATTTGCAGTATTATAAAAAAAATGAGAAAAATATTTGGGGTAATATTAGGATTCTGTGTAGTCTGTTTAAGTCTGGTCTGGTCTGAACTGGTCTGGTGGTAACTTCTGGTCTCTGTGTATTTTATAATTGTCCAAGTCTGATCTGATCTGTTTAAGTCTGGTTTGAGACTGAAAACAGTCCAAAAGAAAACATCCTTGGTGGATCTTATATGCAGAGTAGCAAAATGAGTGGTAAACCATATCCTTCCATTTTCCATATTGCTATTCACAATTTATCCATCTCCTTTTTGTTCAGGCCTGGGACTTCATACTCCAAAAATTGATGCTACTGCCAAAGCTTGGACAGTTTTGCTATTTGGGCTTGCATGAACTATGAAACATGAACTAATTGTTTTGCGTCCATTGGTCTTTGTTAGCTCATTTCTCTGACTCTCCATTCCTTTTTTCAACCTGATATGATAAACTCCATGCTGGTATTCCTTCATTTCCCTTTGTTTGTCCATTTCTATTGTACAGGCTGTGTTGATTTTATTAGTCTTTCACAAAGTAGGATGGCATTCCTCAATTATTTAAGCCTGTGGTTCTTCATGTAGTGTGGGTGTAGGGGTTTAGAACATCTGCTATTGGATGTTTGCATTTCTATTGTAGGGGTTTGTAGGTGCTTTGTAGATGGGTGTGTGGTGTTGGCTGTTTACTTACGTTTTACTGCACTGTTGTAGTGTCCTTTTGAAGGTGTTATATGTTTTTATTGCACAGACAATTTTGTGCCACACCACTCACAGTACCATCCACCTTGGGATGTGTTTTTCTACTTCAAAAAAATTACAAAAGATATTCAAAAGCTTCTTTCAAAACTAGCCAGGAATGTGTTTTCCAGGACGTGGAAACAACGTCATGGGGGGGGGGGGGGGGGGGGGACCACCAATGCTCGTAAAGCAAACTTGGGACATCCATGCCAGCTCCGCCCATCATGACAGGAGGTAAATGATCAATCTACAAGAAGAGCCGTGTGGTGTCCTTTCACAGTGTAGAACCTTGGTGGGAAGCATTGCAAGCACTTATGACGCCTTGGAAACATCTCTACTTCCAGGGGTAAAGGTAAAGTCTACATACATCTCACCTCCCCACACCCCAACACTTTATGGTTGGTTTATTATGTGGAACTGTGCAAGAGATTTCAATTACTCCATGGATGGTTACTCTTATTATAAATAAAAAAATATGTGCATATTTTTTAGTGCATATCAAATGAAATATAGAACGTTCATAATCATTTGATCTTGAATCTAGCAGTTGAAGGTTTATTCTCTATGGATGAATCTCTTTTGTGGTACCCAGTGGATATTCGAAACCATCCCAATATACACATTGTGTGTAATGCTCCACAATGTATTTTTAATCCATGTTTTATGATGGCACCAATTTCCTATCTTCTGTAGTGCAGGTTACAAGCTCCCTCCTAAATCCGCTCTTCCCCGGATAGCTTCAACTTTATGTGTTTAACGTTTCTAAAGGTTTGTGATAAGAGTGTACTTATACGATTGAGTCTAAGGTTGAGGTCGCTCATATGAAGGGAAGAAGATTTTAGAATTTTTTGGATGTATCACAACAGGGAGTTTAAAAAATTAAAGCTGTAGCAAGAAATATTGTAGCAAGACTAATAGGCTTAGGAAATAAGTTATTCTAAACCAGAATAGGGATATAACCATAATTATAGAAATGACATTCTTTCTGGCCAATCTAGCCATTTTGGGTTCCTGCCTTTTCCCGCCTGGGGCTCATTACTACATGCCGCTGATGAGACCGTCCACATAATGAATCACATAAGGTTGTTTTGAAAAATCTAAAAAATCTTGTAGTTTTTTTCTTCAGCTTTTCATTACCACCCTTGTCCCCTTTTGAGGAGTTTAAATCTCTAATCTCTAATCTCTAGAATCTTATAAGAGTGAATAGGAGTAAGGGTATTTTAGGTAATAAAAATGTGTTTGTGTAATGCATAGTTGTAAGCATTTGCACATTCTGATTTGACTCTTGTACACCTAGCTAATTTAATACGCCATATACATTTTACCCCGTTCCATCCCATCCCTATTAATTAGTACAGAGTATATTACTTTGTCCCGTTTCTATCTTTTTACCCCAAGGCTCAAACCAGTATTCAGTTTAGCCCAGTGAGTTGAAATTTATCCCCTGCTTCCAGAGTTAGAGGGTTCAAGAAACAGTGCGAAGTAGTTTACTCCTCAGCATGTCCCAGGCACCCATATGATCAGCTAGGGTTACTCCAGCTGCCAACCGCAAATAGCGATGTTTCAGGGCAGGCAAGCAGGTGTGTGAAGTGTTGTGTTGCATACGAGTAGTACATATCATTTTTATCGTTTCCATTAGTGCATTTAGTTTAATTTGATGCTATGGTTTAATCCCCTCATTATTTTTGTTTGCCGATCTCCCTCTCAAACTCATGTTTCGGCCCCTTATGGTCTCACAGACTCACAGAGTCACAGTCGTGGGAAGTGCAAAGGATATATATATATATTCTTTATAAAGGATTTTTGTTTATTCAAAGCTTAAAAATCTCAAGCTATGGAATTAGTAACATATTACTCACAGTCTTGGCCTCTTGGGCCGCTTATGGTCTCAATTTTTGTTTTATCATGTGAAAAAATCTCAATTTCATGTTTACTGACATCTTCTTTAGGACCTAATTCCTTTATGTTAAAAATTAATTGCTTCGGGCTGACAAGGGGTCAATGAACAAGTAGGTACAAAATGTGATAAAAGCATAAGATGAGGTTTTGGGATTTTTCCATTTATCTCGAGCTACATCTAAAATTCTAAACCCTGTGAGAAAATTGCCAAATTATTTAGCAAGAACTTTATCAAATAACAAAATCCCTGTCGGTAAAAATAACCTTGACAATATAGAAAGAGTAAAACAATATGGAAAATGTGTCAGACTTCGTTCATAGAGTCTTTCGCCATTTGATCATTACTTAGGTCAATCAGCATCGTTACCTCATTAAAAACCTTACCAAGTAACAAAACTCAGTGGAAAAATAAACCCCGGTTTAAGAAAAACAGTATAATGTAATGGTGGGTAGGTGAAAGACTCCCCCTCTTGTCTACACCTCCCCTTGATATTTACATTAATCAGGAGAGTTCGGAAAGCTTTCACATTCCTATGCTCGTATTACCATTAGATATGGGCATTAAATATTTCTGAGGTTTAATGCATCAAACCCCCTGTGATAAGGGGGTGGACTCGGGTTCGGGCCGGGTCCGGGTCGGGCCTAGACCCGGGCGGACCGGTGGTTCAGGAATGGTGGACTCGGGACTGGCCCGGGTAACCATCGGGTCCCGGTCGGGCCAGGCCCATTATCATTTTTTCCCTCTTCCTAATTAACCCCCTCCCACCCCAACCCCCCAAATCACCCCAAATGGCCCAAAATACCCAGCCCAACCCGAAAATTTAAAAAATTGAAAAAAAATCAATTTTGGCTCGAATCGGGCCTTTTCGGCCGGGTTGGACCTTGTTTTGGGTGACCCGAGCCCGGACCGAAAAAACCCACAGGTCGGGCCTACCCGGATCGGCCACTGACCAAGCCATCGGGTCGGGCCGGGTCGGAACAGTACCGGTCTCGGGACGGTTCTGGGTCGGGCCACCCGGCCCGAGTCCATCCATACCTGTGATATGGAAATTCGGCGCATTAGCTCTCTAAACAAACAAATAAACAACATCCAAGCTAGGGGTGGACCGGTTCCGGTTCGGGCCCGGTTCGAACCTGGGCCCGGCCGGGCCTCGGTTCATGAAAGGGGAGGCCCGGAACCAGCCCGGGTAACCTCGGGTCCGGGCCAGGCCGGACCGGGCCTCAGTTCATTTTTTTTTGGCTTTTCCTAATTAACCCCCAACCCTCCCCCCTCACCCCCAAACCACCCCAAATCACCTCAAATGGCCCAACATACCCAGCCCAACCCAAAAACTTAAAAAAAATTCAAAATAAAATAAAATAATAAATTGGCCCGGATTTGGCCCGAACCGGTCCGGCCAGTTCACTATTTAGCAGGCCCGGGCCCGAACCGCCTACCTCACCGGGCCGGGTGGCTCGAATCGGGCACCAACCAGTTCACCGGGCCGGTCCGGGCCCGCACAGTAGCGGGCCGGTCCGGTTCTGGGCCGGTTGGACCAGCCCGAGTCCACTCCTAACAGAATCCCAAAAGAATTTGGGGTCGGCTAAATGAATCGATCTATGATATCGATGCCAAAAAGAGAAAGCGGACAATAAAAGGAAAAAAAAAGTAAGATGAAATGAATAAAATAAAGATGCATAAATATAAGATAACAATAACACAAGAATATAACCAAGATTAAAGAAAAAATAAATAAATGAGCATAAAAAAGTTAGAAAATAAAAATAACATAAGAATATAAAAAGATAAGAAAGATAAATGATAAAACAAACAAGAGAGGAAAGGTAGACAAGACATCAATCGCCCACGTGGATGTGCGCCCTCTACTTTGCTCTCTCCAACGTCATACTCTCATCCAACCCAAGAAGACGCATATCAGTTCTGATTACGACGCATTAGCTCCCTGTGATTTAAAAAATGTGTCAAACCCCTTTATGTTTTAATTAATTATGCGCAAAATCTCTTCAATGAACAAATTCAATTATCAAATAAAAGAAAAATGATTAACATTTTTGTTAGTTTTAAAGATTTTGACATATGTTGGTAGAAAATAACCTGGGTAGAGAATTCGGCAGCATTTCAGTATAGTGAGAATAACTTATCAGAATACAAAGGGTTGGTGGCCTATTTATAGGCGTATACAACAGGCCCACCAATTAGATGTTACATGGGCTTGGCCCGATTTATCAACTAATACTAACGCTAATGGACCAGTCAACTCGATAAGTAATTCGATAATCCCGGACCAGTATCTGCTAGTCGAACTGTGTTCTGAGCTTGGTCGGGCCAAAGCCCAGGGGTAACGGGCCAATATTCTTGGACTTGGCCCATTATCCCAACACGAGTCCCCCACTCCCTTAGTCGAGTAGTAGACTCGGCTAAAAGGGAGTAGTTAAGCTGTTTTGGAATTGGTCCGGTTCTTGGTCCGGCTGGCCGGTCATTAACGAGCCTTGAATTTGATCCGGTTGCTTGTGAAAGGATGGAGTCTTCCTTGTTCTGACCGGGAGACCTCTTCCTTTATTCACGATGACGGGGTGCCTCGTTAAAACCTTACTAGGAAAAAAACCCAGTGGGAAAAAATCCTAGTGAAGGAAAAAGAGTACACTGAAGCCTTAAAATAAAGCAAAGGAAGGTCAATCCCCTCGGTTCTTGATTGAGTGCCTGCTTTACTGGTAGGCCGAGATATGTTCCGAAAAGACCAGTCGCAAGTTTGTTTGCCAATGGTGTCGGTTGAGCCAAGGTATGCTTGGAGAAGGCGGGTCGCAATTGTATGCTGAGGATGGTGATCCGGGGTATCCTCGGGAGATGCTATCCACCCAGATGTCCGCTGATGACGGACAACCGAGCTATGATCTAGAAAGGTCGGATACTATACTATCCACATTGATCCCCATTGCTTACAAAAGGATAGGATTTTCCTTCATCTGGGTAGCAGCCCGAGGTCTTGCTTATCCTATTAGGAGCCCGAGGTCTTGTTTGTCCGATTAGCAGTCCGGGGTCTTGTTTGTCCAATTAGCAGCCAGAGGTGTTGTTTAAAACCAAATAAATTGGTGAGCTCTCCGGCCACTACGTGCAGCTGCAACGATCGCCATCTGCTAAGGGGATGGCAAAGACCGGTCTTCACTTGTGAGCAATGCTCGTCTGACGTTCCCGGGAGGATGCAGTGAGTAGTCCACCATGATTCATCCTTAGGAGTGAGAGACCCGAGCTCGGAGCTTGGGTTGGCTCTCGCCCGCCCATAAGCCCATATGTAATTCATGCACTGTCATGCACGTGGAACCTCGACCAAAAGATAGCCTTAGACGAACTTGACTTGGAGATAGCCTTGCACGAACTTGGACTGAGATGAGCGTGCATGACTTGGTATGGATGGTGAGGTGATGATTATAGGTCTCGCCATGACCACGCACTTAGTTTGAATTTTGAAACATGTTAAAGAAGAGCCTGGACCAGCGCTAAGTAGTCTAGGCTCAGGAGTGGACGGAGAAAACTGAGGATGCCATGATGCTACACAGCTTCCCACGGAGCCAACGATCAGAGCATGCCCGAGCGTGGCGGCGACCAAGGATATGAAAGTTCCATTCGAACCTAAATCAAAGTAAGACAAATTGAATGCGTTGTCCCGGGATGCGGATCATAAGGTAGTTGCGGTGTTAAAGCCTCCCTAGTGATCTTGGAGTTTGCAAGCTTTGGGCTCGAGGCCCGGTATCTGGAGCATGTCTGAGCTTCGATGATGTAGGAGATGAGGCAGTTGCGTTGTTCAAGGCCCATTACAGTTTCCGGAGCTTATCACTTCCAGGATTGAAGACCGGTGTCCGGAGTATATCCGAGCTTAGCTGCGGACCAAGGAGGGTTGCAATTGGCTGACGTGGTATGCAGACTACCTGTGATGAGGAGAAGAAAACCGGGAAACGATGATCTTGGACTTGTTCTCTGTGATTGATTTTTCGCTTGAGCTTGTATATATGCGTCATTCGTTCTTTCAATTTACTTAGTCGTTTTTCATTCAAGAATACTTGGAGAACTAATCGGGGATCTGGCTCCCCACCTAGGCCGTGAGGGGCGGAAGGTTGGCAGGGCCGACCTTGACCGCACCCTGCTTGGTAAGGCGGGGCTGACCCGCACACTATCGATCTAGGACCGATGAGTGTGCAATCTGTTCGGCCAACGGTCAGACAACAGATGTACGAGAGGGGCTCGGGGCACGACCTCTCGCTTACCTTCGACCCGGAGGCCGGTCTTACACCTTGACTTGTACAGCTAGTTTCATACTTAGGAAAAATCTGGTTATCCCTTTCTGAAAGTGAAACTGAAGTCGGCCAAACGTAAGGGCGAGGCCTTGCATGATCAGACCAGAACGGACCCGCACCGCTGACCCTATCAAACGAGTTTGCGGGCTGTTAAGCCTAGCAACGTCAGACAACGGATGTACGAGAGGGGCTCGGAGCATGACCTCTCGCATACCTTCGGCCTGAAGACCGGTCATATAGTCGCCGCACCATTGATTGGATCAAACGAGTATGCGAGCTGTTTAGACAGCAACGTCGGACAACGGGTGTACGAGAGGGGCTCGAGGCACGACCTCCCGCATACCTTTTCGACCCGGGGAGCCGGTCTTACGGTCTCCCTGACCGAACCGCTAATCCTAGACTTTAAAAATAGTTTGATCATTTCCTTGTCCAAGGATCGAGTCGTGGTCGACTAAACACCGAGAGCGGGGCGTTATAGTTTTTTTTTGCCGCCGCCCGTTCATTTCCAAGTGAGGTCGGACCTCATTAAATTCTAGACTGGAAAACAATTTTTTTAAATATTGAAGGAGAGTTCCACACTTGATCTACTAGCTCGTGGTGCTCCGCTCTGAGGGTTTGACAAGGTGCCCTGCGCCCGTACTTTGCAGTTTTGATATTGATGGTATGGACCTATCTGTGCAAGATTGAGCAGCATGGTTTTAATCAATATCATCTCAGACTTACGTGTTATGACGAGGTTGTGCAACCAAGGCTCTAGGCGATGAATGTATGTGTTCATGTCTCGGCGGATTGAGCTCGTGCAACCAAGCCCTTTGGTAATGACCGTGTGGCCGTCTCGCCATGGCGGTCTCGTGCAACCAAACCTCCGGGCTGTGACATTGTGTCCACTTTGCCTGGTGGGGCTTGCGTGGATGATACCCGACCCACCAATTGTCGCTTGGACTATGTTTGGCGCGTAGGGGCGCACGAGCGCAGAGCATACATGTGTACACGGTGACAGCTACAACGTGCACAACTCTCACTCAATGCTACGTGATTGTGACTTGTCGGCACTGGTGAGTATCTTCCATCTAAATGTAATGCTTGGTCAGAATGGATTGAATCGGGGCTCAGCTATGTTTGACTTGGTGCTCTAGTGATGTGCAGGGCGTACGAGCATACAGGCAAACGGGCGTATCGGGCGTATCGGGCATATCGGACGTATCGGGCGTACGGGGGTACGAGCGTCCTCGCTATCTGACCCAGACGAGCTATGTGACTGAGAGGCATCATCATTGGCAGGAAGAGCGGGGTTCTCAGGCGGGCCGCTTGGAGCAAGTTGGGGACGGTTTTTGAGAATGACGATCTGCATGGTTGGTCTTGCCGGCCTCGATGACATGGCTGGTTTTTCCTTTGGCGTTGGACCGAGTTGACGTACGGTTAGCGTATCCGTACGAGTGTGGGTGGCGTTATTCTCATGCATATGATTCCGGGCTTGCGCTCCAGGACAAGGTTGTGCATCCGGGCCTCCCTCCAGAGACGGGCCTCCTGATGGAGATCGGAGGTTCACGTCGCCGGGTTGAGCCCGTGCCACCAAGCTTCGGCGTACGGGCGTACCGACCCCGGACTTGCGCTCCAGGACAAGGTTTTGCATCCGGGCCTCCCGGCAGAGACGGGCCTCCTGATGGAGATCGGAGGTTCACGTCGCCGGGTTGAGCCCGTGCCACCAAGCTTCGGCGTACGGGCGTACCGACCCCGGGCTTGCGCTTCAGGACAAGGTTGTGCATCCGGACCTCCCGGCAGAGACGGGCCTCCTGATGGAGATCGGAGGTTCACGTCGCCGGGTTGAGCCCGTGCCACCAAGCTTCGGCGTACGGGCGTACCGACCCCGGGCTTGCGCTCCAGGACAAGGTTTTGCATCCAGGCCTCCCGGCAGAGACGGGCCTCCTGATGGAGATCGGAGGTTCACATCGCCGGGTTGAGCCCGTGCCACCAAGCTTCGGCGTACGGGTGTACCGACCCCAGGCTTGCGCTCCAGGACAAGGTTGTGCATCCGTACCTCCCGGCAGAGACGGGCCTCCTGATGGAGATCGGAGGTTCACGTCGCCAGGTTGAGCCCATGCCACCAAGCTTCCGGTCTATGGCCTCACGTCTGCCTCGCCAATTGGATCCCGCGAATTGTCGTCTTGATATTGCTAATTTGCTTTGATTATGTCCTTTTGTTGAATTTTGACTAGGGCAAAATTAAGACCCACTGAAAGAGAAGTCTAGCAGCGACAGTCATCATCTTCCACCAGCATCGGAGCCGGAGAAAAGGCGGAGCTCCAGATAGCGGCCGATCCCCTGAATATGACACTTCTCCTGCCTTCCCAACTCGTCGGCCAACAGAGAAGAGATCGAGGCAGAGACCGGCGACATAGCTACGGGGTGGAGGAGCGACCTGCTATCTGCGATGCTGCGACAGATGGGGACGGGCGAGCTACGAGCGACGACCACCGGAGGTTGATGTTGAGCGTCGATTTCCATAGACCTGGTTGCGTATTTGGAGATGGACCCTAGGCTCGAAGTTGTGGTGCCTCCTTCGGTCGTCGCTGCTACCAACAGGCAGAGGAGAGGAGCTCTGACCTCTACGAAGGGTCACGACCTCAGGATTTGGTCCGCCTAGCAGAGATGCGGCGCTGAGACGGAGATAGGGCAGTGAAGCAACTAGCGAAGCTTGCCGTCGATGGCGTGGATGGCGAAGGCCCGGATGGTGACCCCAATGTTCGATTAATGGTGCGGCGGCCAGCTCTTGAACAGGGTCTCAATCGAAGAAGATGAGTGCACCTCTGGTTCATGGTACGTGAAGCTCTTCCGGTCTGTTTTTTTTTTTATTTGCAAACCCCCAAATCACTTTTGGGCTGAATTCTCAAACTGTTCTAATTTTTTCATATAATTTTTTTTATAATTTTTTTATTTTCCTAGTTTTTCACTCGTTAGTGCTATTTTCTCACCCTTCTCAGTTCTCTCTTCCAAGTTCTACCAAAAAAACAAACGAGAGATTAGCTCTCAATGAAAGCACCAATGTTGGTAGAAAATAACCCGGGCAGAGAATTCAGCAGCATTTCAGTATAGTGAGAATAACTTATCAGAATACAAAGGGTCGGTGGCCTATTTATAGGCGTATACAACAGGCCCACCAATTAGATGTTACATGGGCTTGGCCCGATTTATCAACTAATACTAACGCTAATGGACCAGTCAACTCGATAAGTAATTCGATAATCCCGGACCAGTATCTGCTAGTCGAACTGTGTTCTGAGCTTGGTCGGGCCAAAGCCCTGGGGTAACGGGCCAATATTCTTGGACTTGGCCCATTATCCCAACAACATATTTACTTGCATATTCAATCAAAATATTATGAAAAGTGATTTCAAAATCATTAAATTTATTTATAAAAGGGGTTTTGTGCATGATTAATTAAAACACAAGGGAGTTTGATGCATTTTTCAAAACACAGGAGGGTAATGCGCTGAATTTCTATATCACGAGAGGGTTTGGTGCATTAAACCCAATATTTGTGCTAGTAATAATTTAATATAGTACGAAATGGCAGCATCTGAATCTCATTTTCACTCTTGTCTGCAAAAATAGAAGTTCCCATCAACATCAAAATGTATGCCCGTGCATGATGCTGAATCATCACCTCATTTGCCTCCGGAGGAATAACAGCAAAATGCTCCCTCAGCCATGACATCCTCAGAGATGATCCACGAATGTCTGTCCGGAGAGGGGGCGAACACCCAACAATCGCTCCACATCCTTAACCCATGATCGACCGCTCTTCCATGGACCTGTAAGCCACTCAAAAC